CATACATACATGCATACACACACACACACCACACACACACACACACACACACACACACACACAACACAACACATATATACATATATTATATATATATATTATATATATATATATATATATATATATATATATATATATATATATTTTTTTTTTCGTACAGTTACTGGCGGATCTTCATCAAAATCGATGGTTGGGGGACGCAAGATGGGCTCGAAGAGGTTGGGCAGATTAACAGAAGGTTCGTGGTAAAAAGAGGAAAGAGAAAAAGAAGAGGTAGACTAAGATTGACGAGGGGACTTTTTCTTCTTTTTTTTAGATCATGAATTTATTGACTAAAAGTAGCTTCAAGTGTTTTTTAAATAGCTATTCTTATTATTATTATCATCAATAGAGACCATCTTTATCATTACTAATATTATCTCTGTTACCATCATTACAATAATTTTCATCTTTATGATTATCATTATCGAATAATAACAATTATGATTTTTAAAGTAACAAATATTCCTCTGTAAAAGCTGTCGATCAAGCATTAGGAAAAGGGTAAATCCTTAAAAAGGGTAAATCAGACACGCAGACACTAGAAAGGTAAATCAGAACTAGGAAAAGGGTATCAGACACTAGGAAAAGGTAAATCAGACAGGTAAATCAGACACTAGGAAAAGGGTAAATCAGACACTAGGAAAAGGGTAAATCAGACACTAGGAAAAGGGTAAATCAGACACTAGGAAAAGGGTAAATCAGACACTAGGAAAGGGTAAATCACAGGGTAATCAGACACTAGGAAAAGGGTAAATCAGACACTAGGAAAAGGGTAAATCAGACACTAGGAAAAGGGTAAATCGACACTAGGAAAAGGGTAATCAGACACTAGGAAAGGACTAGGAAAAGGGTAAATCAGACACTAGGAAAAGGGTAAATCAGACACGCTATCTCTTAAAGAAAGGTAGTTTTACCATTTTAAAGACCACTGCCATAGCGTAAATAAGAAAATGAAGAGATAATTTAGACCTGGAATTGGTATTAAGAATAGTTCTTCACTGGGTTTGCAAGAAATACGGCAAAACAACAGGAGCTTCAATACATTTCCAAAATACAATATATATTTCAGAAATTGACAAAAAAAAAAAAAAAAAAAAAAAATAGTGAATATTTCAGAATTTGACAAAAAAATAAATAATAAATAAATAACAAAAAAATAAAGATAATAGTACATAGTAATATACAAGAATATTTTTTTCGTGACTATAATGCAAGTCCACTCGATAGATGGCGCGTCCGTCTATTCATGAAAGGAATGTTGATCTCTCGCCAGATATTTTTTTTAGCACTCTGTATGAGGTCTTGATCACGGCTGATTACATCGAAACGTCAATACGTAGTGATCTTTTACTTAAATTTTTTTTCTTCTTTTTTGGCGAAAAAGAACAACAAGGTATATTTCTTCGTCAAATTCGGGATTGTGTATTCATTATGAATCGATCTTTTTCTTTCC